CATGATAAATGTTATTATTGTATGTAGGCTCAATTATATAAATACTATTTAAAACCCAGGTCTTTCTAAGGATTAATAAGATGGTGAATTCCAATTTGCTGTTTTAAAACAAGGATAGATATTTTAAGCCCTTTTGTTCTTATTTACTTAAAAATATATTGCTGCTGCCTTTATGTAAATGCTTCATAATTCCATTGACCACATTTTGTTGATTTGTAAATTCATGCAAGCCTGAAATTTAAATGTACAATTTCATATTAAATATCACAGTGTTAAAACAAACACACCAAAAATAAAATAAGATAAAACCTCTACATTTGAATGCCTCATGAAGGTATTAAAATGGTGTCTTCTTATGAGTTGACATATGTATGGGAAATGCATTTTAAAAGAAAATGTAACTGCTCGAGAAGAATAGATAGCTTTGTTTTACAGCAAGTGGAAAGTTCAGAAAAATATCCATCATTCAGTTACTAGAAAGATAAATTCAATCAAGAGGGCGAGTAAAGAAATAGAGGAGACACAAGGAAATACAGGGAAAGCAGGAAGTGAGTTAAGAATGAGCTATTGCCGGTGAACTAACATCTACCTCCAAAAACGATAGGCAAACAGCAGACAGGGCAACAGAGAGAAAATTGCATCAGGCTTCAGTGTTTATGTTTTCGATGGAAATGTACAAATCACTTCCATTTCTTATGGTGCTGTCATGCTCCATCACTTTAGTCCATTTTCACCTTGCAGAGGAATTCTGAGTGGGACTTCCTTCTCTGGCAGCTAATTAATCTCCCACAAGCCTGCTCTTGTAACTCGTCTGCCTGGAATGCCCCTCACCTTAAGCCAGTGACTCCTGAGCCAATTTCTTTCCCCCTGAAGCTGTTCTTTCTTCCCTGAAGCTGTAAGAAGACCATCTTTTCATTTTCATTTGGGAAGCGGTGTGAGCTTTAATATACAACTGAGAAATTGCTCCCTCTACCCCACCATCATAAATGAATATACACTCCCAAATAATTGAATTGGATTTTTAATGACAACAGACAAAGCCCGAATATAAATTGTGAATGTGCACCATTTTTTCCCCCAATAGTGCATATAATGTGTAAGGACCCATATTACTTAGATTATGCATTTTTGTGCATTTGTATTTCCTGGCTCTTTATTGTGATGAAACAAATACAGTTATAATACTATTGCATTTGCCTTAAAAATATTACCAAATTTTTAAAATAGAAGGATACTTGATACTTAGTTTAATGGCTAATTCTTTATGTAAAAAAAAAATTAAGGTAAAAGCATAATTATTTATTTGTTGAAATGTTTCAATTAAAAATAATAAAAATTCTATTTAGTTTTATTCTATTTAATAAAAATAGCCTTTTAATAAGTTACCACTAATCAACTACTTACAAGGTCTATTGCTTAATATTGTCACAGGTGAAAATATTATTTCAATAATGACTCATAGGAGGTTAGAAATATGAACCATTCTTTAATATTTTCCTGATGCTGTTCACGTGTATCTTTCTTCTTTTATTGCCACATCTGTGTCACTTTTATATTCTCTTACTTGTTTTGGTTAATTTTTTTGTAAAATTTTGCCTAGCTTTATGTTTTCTTTTCATTCCCTTTGAATTAAACATAAAACACCTCCCATCAACTATGTATTCTGTGCCTTTAGAAAGCAGAAGATATATATGGGACTAGAATAGCTATTCCAAATATTAAAGATTCTCTCTATATAAAGATGTATGCAACTTGACCCATGCATGTATGGAAAACATACTTGACAGGAATAGGATCACTATAAATATTCATGTATTCAGAGGAATATATATGGGTCACATTTTCAACCTCTTTGCACGTGTCAGGTTACCGACTAATGGAGTTCACTTGCCTGTGTGCATCAAAACCAGATAAGATGGGAACAGGAGATTTCAGCAAAGAATGTGGAGGTTTATTAGTTTGGAAATGGCATCATGCCCAGAGTCAAAGGTGAGCTAATGCTCAAAGATCCGGCTCCCCAATGGTTCTAGGGAATAGGTTACATAGGGTAAAAAACATGAATCATGGTGACTAACAGAGTTAGGGTTGTGGTCTCTACTGATTAGTCCACACTAGGGTAGGGTAGTTCATCTGTCCCTGATGTCAGCCATGGATTGCTTTGTCTGGTTTTGCAAGGATGTGGTCAGCGGGATCACTCTGGAGCTGAAACACAACTGAGGCCCGGATGTTATCTCTAGTTTTACTAAAACTCTATCTCTGTGGGTCAACAAATCCAAGGCTTTGTTTCTAAGACTCTGCCGTGCTGACCAGAACATCATTGTCCCGAGGGCTGAATGATTAAGGGAGTGGACGTGCAAGGGAGAAGGAGGCAGGTGAGCCAGGGTGCTGGACGAGGCCAGTTTGAATCAAAAGGAAAGAAAGGAGAAAAGGTCATATTTAAGAAATGAAGTTTCTGAGCGGTTGTAGCAGTAATTATTTTAAAAAGTTATATGCTGGATTGTGTTAAAGGCAACTGTAGGGAGTCTTTATTAGGTGGTCTTTCTATAAAAGGTAGTGAACTCTGTTTTAGCAATCAGTTAAATTTTAGGCAATTTATTTTTTGCCCTTTAGGCTTGGCTTTATTCTTTGGTAAAACAAGTCGACTTTGATTTTGAACTTAATTCATGAATTTTACCCTTTCTCCCAGGGTGGAAGCTTTCTGTAGTCCCAGCTGAAAGTCCGAGGCGCTCAGGAAGCTCTCTCCACTCTGGTTGCATTGCCGTCCGGTGTCTGCCAGCAGTGCCTGGCCTCTGATGTCACCGTCCACTTCTCACCCACAGGGCAGGAGTCTCTCCTAGGCCCTCTGGAATCTCACTCTGTGGAAATGCCACCTTGACCTTGGCCAGTGATTCATAAAAATCCCCACACAAACTGCTACGGTTCTCGGTCAGCTCCCTTTCCTCGGGCACCGTACCCTGCAAATCCAGGCGTGTCAGCCGCCCAGACTGTTCTCGCTGCCCTGGCTCAATGAGACTGTGGTTCTGCTGTGGTTCTACCACTGTAGTTGATGGCAGGGAATTGCTTCCAAGCAGAAAGACACAGAGGTCAGGGAGCACATATTGAATTTTCCCTTCATTCAGGGATTACCAAACTTCACTGTATGAAGTTCAGTGCCAGCAACCGTTGCCTTACTGATTTTATAGTTGTGTGATTTTATAGTTGTGTACGGTGAGAGGAGAAGTATAGCACTGATTACCCTATTATGGTTAGAGATATAAATCCTAACCAGACATTTTTCTTGTTAGATCAGGGAGATAAGGAAGATTTCCATAGGTGAGGCAGGTGGAGGGTGGTAAGGGCATCAGGAGATTTACAATTAATAGAGAGCTTGTGACTCGGGTTTCACAACAGCTGTGTCTGTACTTTAAATGCAAACATGGAGGAGAGATGAACTTCAAGGAACAGGTCAGTAACACACTTGGTGATATATCCTTCAGGAAGACAATAAATATGATTATAAATTAGTGATAACCTAAGTTCAGTTTCCCTTCTTTTTTTGGTATGTGCCCCTAGCGGGAACCGAACCCGGGACTCTCTGGTCTGCAGGCCAATGCGCCAACTGCTGAGCCAAACCAGCCAGGGAGATTCCTTCTTTTTTTCTTTAAACTTATGTTAATTGTTGAATATATTACAGATTTTCTTCTTTTTCCCCCCATTGACCCCCTCCTCCCCAACTTTGCCCCCCTCCTGCCTTCCCCACACTATCGTTTGCGTCCACTGGTGATGCTATGAGGAGGAGGGCCGTGCTTACCTGTTCCGCCATCTTGACCGGAAGTTCAGTTTCCCCTCTTTTGCCATTAATCTTTAGCAGGTAGCTGTCCCCATACAAAGATTAGTCATAATAAAAAGGAACCAGAACTTATGAAGAATTTCAAAAAGTAAAGAGTAAATGAATATAAACCAAAGTCCAGCGAAGGACATACAGTGCATAAGAAATTATCTATTAATGTTATCAATACTTCAGACAAAAAGTACTATACTGATCAGAGCTTAACGGTTATCATATTACAAATATATTTAGATTGACTCATCTGTTCACAGTATTACTAGTTACCTTACTTCCACTCTTCATCAATTTTTAAAATAGTTTTATAAATAAAGTTCATTAAAAGCAATCAAACATTGATTGCAAAGGAAGGTGATACTGCTGTATACATACAGTTTCATTAAGACACAGTCCTTTTATAACATGTAAAAAAGGCAAAGCTGCAGTTGTCTTTCAGTTATTTTTAAGAGTTGAGACCAGTGGTCCTGAAACTATAGCCTGAATCAGAATCACCTGGACAGCACAGGTCACTGGGTACCTCAACCCCAGAGGATGAGTCTCGAGAATTTGCATTTTGATATGTTCCCAAATGATGCTGATGCTGCTGGTCTGGTTTAGATTCTCCATCCCTAAAGGCAAATTATAATCACTCTGAGGAGACTTTAATTCACACTAATACTCAGGCTCCATCTCCGACCAATGGAAATGAAATGTCTGAGGCTCGAGGCTAAGGATGGGCTAAAAGCTTCCCAGGCAATTCTAATACGCAGGCAAAGCTGAAGGAGAGAAGGCAACAGAGTGACTTAAAGAAGTTTATCTGGTCTTAACACATTAGTAGAATGTTTTCTTTTCTCAGCATATTCTTTTATTAGATGGGAACAATTTTTACGTAGTCATTCATGACAAGGAATGAATGAAACAGTATAAAGATGGCCTTACAAGTGGCTCTATAAATTAAAGCTAATTTAAATTTAGCCAATGTCATGCTACTAATTTATAAAATACTTAGAATATAAGGTAGCTTTAGAATTAAAAATATATATATTGTTCTTATACATTTTTCCATTTATAAAACTACTTTATACCTTAGACATTTAAATTATTTTTATTAGCATTGTTCTATACAATTAGACAGCATAAGAAACACTTAGGTGCTAAATCTTAAAACTCTAACGCCTAATTTCTCTCTCCACAGTGAAAGATGCAGATGCACTTTGTATGGACATACGGATTCTGTGAACAGCATTGAGTTCTTTCTTTGCTCCAACACGCTTCTCACAGCTTCTGCAGATAAGTCCCTGTCTATATGGGATGCAAGAACGGTAAGGAGATTGTCAACAGCTTTTCCACGTTTCAATAAGCCTCGTCACTCTTAGTCACTCTTCAGTCATAGGTGCAGCTTATGAAGAAACGGTGCAAGGGCAGGTGGGCTGAAGAATGGGAGCACTGTCAGTTCCCGTTAACAAGGTCCCGTCCGTGTGCTCCTATCTGTCCTGCCTCCTAAATGTAAGGACCGTAAAAATAATGTCGCTACTTCATTAAACAGCATTCCAGTTATTTATTGAAATAGAAACTCTGCTGGTGTCGTGGATAGGAAAGGGGAACACATAGTGCCTCTCATTAAGTGTCATTAGATAAGAAGGGAGAAAAAAAGAGATCACGAGGTGTGTGTTAAAATGGAAGAATGTACAAGTTACAGTGGAAAAGCAAGAAGGAGAACACGCATCTGCTTGGAGGAGTGTGGGCGGCTTCCGAGAGGAGGTTGTGCTTTCTTGAGCTGAGACTTGGCAGGTAAGGAGAATGTATCAGGTCCTTTAGGAAGGGGTGGGTGCCAGGGAAGGGCCATGCATGGACAAAGCCATGAAGAGTGAGGCTCCACGGCATATTGTGAGAGCAATAAATGTGCAAAGAGAGCTTAAGGAAGAAGAGAGGAATGACCGGCGAGGGTATGCAGATGGACAAGCATAGGATCGGGAGTATCTGACTGAAGTTTTGTTCTGCTTTGAAGGGAACATAATCAGATTTACGTCTTAGAAAGATTGACAGTAGGATGAGGGCATCCCTCTTGTTGATCGGGACAGGGGCAGATGAGAATTTGAACTAGGAGATTGTGAAAATAAAAAGGATTGAATGGATAAAGATAAAAGGTTTAACTATGAGAACTTGAAATAATTATAAATGGAGATTATAGGAGGAAGAGGGATTTAGGGCAGGGCGAACCACTATCCCAGTGTGTCTAGGTTTTCCTGGGTCATGGGATTGTCAGGGCTAAAGCTGGAAGGGCCTGGATTACTGTGGCTTTTGAAGAGATTTAGATTTGAAGAAATGAAAACAAAACGTGGGGACCACATTTTCAACAGTTTGGCTGTGAAGATGACGAGGAGAAAAGGAAGGAGCTCTAGGGTCAGGTAAAGGCTCCTCCTTCCTTCAGATATAACACAGCCTGGTTATTAGATTAAGGGTAAGAGTCGGGGGAGAGGAAGGGATTGAAAATGCAGAAGAGAGAAGAGACAGTAGAAAAGCTTTTGAGCACAGATTTTAATAATTTGAGGAATGCCAAGTTATGCAAAACGGGATCTCCATATTCACTGTGAGCAGCATTTGATGATAATAATGAAAACTAAGACTTAAGGAGACTATAGAAAAAGGAAAGAAATATCCATAGTATCTGGGTCCTGGGTCAGGAAAGAAATGCAACTATGATTTCTCCCATTTTTCTTCCCTTATACAACACACGATTGACATCAATAGGGAATATGGTGATGACATACAGAGGGTGTGAACAGGGACCGGAGTTCAGTATGAGGGGCTCTCTTTGGTCCTTTAAGGCAAACTTATTTAGGATGGACAGAGAACAAGAAGTCCTTAGGTAGAGCTGCGAGTGCCTCAGACACCAGCTTCCCATGTAGCCTAGCCCCAGACTTCTGAGGAGGCAGGAGCCAAGGGCACACTGTGGGGAAAGTGACTAAAGAATAAAATTACAGTGATTTGTTGTGTGGTACAGAGGTCCCACGACCTGCTCCTTGTTTTAAAATAGCTTGGACCCTAACGCAGCGGAGTTCACTTCTGCTAATGGAGCATCAATGGAAAAGCAAAGTTTTCAATGCATTTAGTCCAAACACTTAGATGTGGAGTGCATATAAAAGCAATCGGTCAAGGAAAACCCATAGAGAAAAATATTCATTTAGCAGTGACCTAAATTTTATGTTCATTTCCTCTTGATTTCAGTTTTTTCTTTTCCTGTCTTTCAAAGTGCTTTAACTGAATGTTCTCAGAAAGCGTGTCTCTTATGTGCTTTCTCTCATGTGAAAAACTAAAGCACTAGTGCTTGGAAGTACAACTGTTCTTATTACGAGAACTTGCTTCTCATAAATCTGCCTTAAATGCATGGGGTTGTTTACTGACGGTGACCTTCTTACCTGATGCTGCGAGCTCTCTGTGGACTGTTTTTACTTCCCACAATAGCTCTAAAAGCAGGAGAAAAGAGTGATTTAGCACTGCACAGGGCCTTAGCATATAGTAGCATATGGATATTGAATGTATGTGCATAGAAAGATTGTGAATCCCAAGAACATTACTTTAATCAATATAAATATTTTTGTTGGCTTAATCACAAATTAAAATTTATATTATTACTGTTATTTTTGTAATTTTATTTTTAGTATGCATATTAGCTTTATATTTATTCATACTATAAAAAAGGCTCTAAAGTATTTTGGTCTAAACAAAATGTTATTTACAAATAACAGTAAATTCATCAATGATTAGGATGAAAGTACATTTAATAGGTTTATTTTCTGAAAATATTTTCAAACCAGATGGTAAAAATACATATTTAAATTGGTATCTGTAGTATAGATTTAGCATGTAAAACAAAGGGAAACTCATTCTATTTAGCTTATTAATGATTAGATAATACAAGGTGTTTATTAAAATATTGATGCAAAAACCTGCAAATAATGTATGAAAACAGCTCTGGAATTAAACTGACTTGTTTCACTAACATGGCATTAGGCGCTACTAGTGATTTTTTTAGATATACCTCATTTATTTAAAACAGAAATCCTTAATACAATCAGATTTTTAAAAGTTAATTATATATCTATATATATAGTTTTAGAAAGGTACATATTATATATTGTAAATATAACATGGAGTTATTAGCTGTTTTATATCCCAATGTTTCATGCAGGAGTTAAACGTAAATTAATTTTTATTGTTGAATATTGTGAGATACTGAAATGGGTAACCAGGAAAGCTATAGTTCCTTCTGTGTAATAATAAAAGCTGCACAACATACTGATATGGATGACGTCATTTGACTTACGACAGCAACTGAGTCCATAGCTGACTAATCTTTTTTATAACTTTAAGATTATGTTAATTCTTTAGTAAATGGTAAATTTTCAGGTTACGCTAAAAGTCTGAACCTGAAAGGAGATGAATGACTTTCTTCTCTTCTTAGTAAAGCAAACACAGTACATTTTGTCACCTTAATGTGATCGATTCATATTGAGACATCCTCTAAAATATTTTTGATCAAACATGAAAATAGCCAATGGATTATATTCCTATAAATTCATTTCAAACTTCTTTCTCCCATTCCCAAACATATACTGGTCTTAAATCATTAACCTAGTCTAACAGCTTATTGTCAAAGATGATGAATGTACCGACCTCTAAGTCAGTCTCTAAGTTAGCTGGACAGATCAGCTCTGAATTTTGTGGGAGATGAGGAGAGGGATATAAATCTCTATAATTACCGAAGAGAGGCTATTAAATAGCTTGCAGTTTGGAAACTCATGAAATTACTCAGCTTTACAGGACTACATGCAGAGTATTTTTTCTCAAAGTTATGAAACAGTAAGATTATTTTATTAAAATTGAAATAAAAGATTTAATATTGCCAGCATATGATGTGTAATCTAGCACATTCAATGAAAACGTGTAATGCCCTCTCAAAAAGCAACATGAAAAACCCCAACATACATCAGTGATTTGGGAGCCAATTTAAAATAAATGCAATGAGATTATCATTCACAAGTTCATTGAAAATATTAAGGCTTTGTACATATATTTTTAAAGGATGTGCTCACAGCACAGTAAGACATAGGACAGAAGGAGTAATGCATGTGTGAGTTGTTTGGAACTGGGTTCGCAATGGTCAGAGTTGCTGACATTCCATCTCTTGTGATGAGTCAGACAGAGTGCATGGCCTGGACTGCCTGTGGGGGTCAAACCTTGCTCCCTAGACTAACTTCAGGCTCTTGTCCAATATATGGTGTTGTCCTGGCTTAACTTTAGCCAAAAGATTCAGCAGCTGATCACTGTGAGTTTCTATATAGTGGAACTAAGAACTCAGCAACAAAGTTACAGTCTTGAGCCCTGTCAGGTAGGTTGTCCACTCCGTAGCTCCGCCTGCACCCACATAGGCCTGCTGGTTTCTCGAGACGGGAGCTCGGTGAATTCTCAGAGGAGCCTAACAGTATTCATAAGCCAGAACGTGGAAACAAAGGCACAGCTGGTACCCCTTCTCTAGGTTTTATTCCTCAGCCGCATTCAGTTTAGTAATATGTGTTGACGATCTGTGGTAGGTCGCACCCGGCTCTGCATTGTTGACTGTGACAGAGTCCCTGCCCTCATGAGCACACAGTCTATTAGGGAGCAGACTAAAAGATAAATGATTTTAAAATAATGTAGCACTGCCCTGGCCAGTTTGGCTCCACGGTTAGAGCGTTGGCCTGTGGACCAAAGAGTCTTCAGTTTGATCCCCATCAAGGGCACGTACCTCAGATGCGGTTTGACCCCCAGCCCTGGTTGGGGTTGTGCGGGAGGCAACTAGTCAATGTGTCTCTCACATCGATGTTCCTCTCTCTCTCTCTCTCTCTCTCTCTCTTCCTCCCTCCCTCCCACTCTATGTGAAAATCAATGGAATGAATACCCTCAAGTGAGGATTCAAAAAAAAAAAAATTAAAATAATGTAGTACTTGTTACATACTCAGCCTAACCATAGCTTCATTTTGTGCCAAAGCTCACTATTCCAAGAGATGATTTTATTATTGACACGTATGTAATACCTACCATGTGCCACCACTCTACTTTAATATCTATTTAATGCTTACTGGAATTACCATTAGTATCCATATTAAGAATTGGAAAAACAAAGGCTTAGAGAATAAAATAATTTGCCCAAGATTGGCCAAATGGTGGGTGGCAAAGTCAGGAAGCAGATCGACTCTTCAACCTCAATTATAATTGTTTTTTTTTGTTTGTTTGTTTTTTTAATCCTCACCAGAGGACATTATTTTGGCATTTATCTTTA